CACAGGAAACTAAGACGGGGACCCTCAGAGAGTGTGGGGAAGGGGGTCTGCAGAGCTTGGGCTCTCGGGGCCCCACAGGGAGAAGAACAATGACGGGACAAGCTCCAGCAAATAGTGCATGTATTTGATGCAACAGTAAATAAACTGGTTGGTACTAAGGAAGCTTGCAGTTTGCCAGAATACATTCAGAAACAGTCCCGCATATGCATGGACATATGTTTGGCATTTCATATCAGTGGAGGGAAAGTGGGATCATCCAATACGTGGTATTGAGACAAATTGGAATAGCCTGAAAAAAATGAAGCTGGGATCCCTCTATCGGTCCCTACATGAAAATAAATTCTAGATGGATCAGAGGTATAAATGTATTATAAAAAGTAAAGTCATAGCTTCTGAAATGATGGTGTAGACATTTCCCTATTCATCCTGCTAAGTGCAGCTAAAACCCTTGGACATTATATGTAAAGCAAACATTAAAAGACACTGGAAGGTGGTGAGAAGAAGGCAGATGCACTGCGGAGGTCAGGACCTGAGGAATGACACAGGAGTGAGTTTTCTGGGTTTTCTTCTTGCCTCTTATATCCCAAGCTGGGTGCTGGAGGAGCTGGCAACCTAGAAATGCCAACAGGTGCAGTTTAAAAAGTAGCCCTAAGCAAATCCTGCTCTCTTAGCCAAGGGACTAGAGAAAAAGACCAGGAAAAGGGCAGACACACAAGACAGAAAACTTTAGACAATAACCACTGTACTCCTGCCAAACATGTCTTCAGACACTCGGGCCCAACCCCACTCCATCCAGCAAAGGCTGAGTGAGAAGCCTAGACTCTCACCCTCACCAGTTGTAATGAGGCACCCAACCCAACTTCACTGCGGTGGTGGCTGAGAAGGTCCTAGTGGGCACCTGTGACTTTCATTCCTGCTGGGTGGTAATGAGACCCCCTTCTTCTGTGGAAGAGGAGACCATGTGTGGAGCCTGGACTGATACCCTGATGCCCTCACCCAGTGGTAACAAGGTGCCCCTCCTCTTCCCTGTTGAGTGGTGGCAGAA